GCCGAGTTCCCTCTTCAAACAGGATCTGAAGATTGCTGAGCAAAACGATATCTTTAAACAACACTACCTGAAGCGAATAAAGGCAAAGGAATCACAATGAAGAGATTGGTATTTATCCTGCTGCTTGTTTGCATCATTTCGACTGGTGAGTGTTGTCAGTTGTTACTTGTGAAAATTTCTGGTCGTTAGTCTGGAAAAGAGTCTGTCGTACACTTAGTTTTTGTAATAGGTTTTTCAAAACAACATATGGCAAGAAAAGGATATTTTTCCCAGAAGCCACTTGAGTACAATAAACAAGACAACTCGTTTTAAAAAAATATTTGTTAGATCTATTGTATTGATTTCTGTATTTTTTTTCATTTTGGGTGCATTTTTAGACCTGGTTATGGATAGCTCCCGTGGGAGTACATCATACAGGGTTACTTATATACCCCCCCCCTCCAAAAAAAATGTATTTAACTCCATATAAATACTTTTTTGCATTCTATATATATATATCTTGTACATATTGGAAAGAGTACACAAACCGTATAATAATAATAATAATAATAATAATAATTATTATTATTATTATTATTATTATTATTACAGCTCTAGGTCTTATTTCATGAGCTTAAAGTGAAAAATATTTTTTGCTAAAATTTTCACTTCAAAGACGTCAACTTCATTGCATTTTGGTCAGGTTATCTTGCGTTTTGTTTTTCTTTTATTCTTGTTAATAACTTCTTTGCGTATTTGAAAAGATATTAAGATCGTTTCCACCATTACCACCAGACCTTATTCTAGTTTACCTTAATCTCCCTGGGAAGTATTGTATGGTAAAAAATACCCGTTAATTTCAAAGGTCAGCATAAAATAATGGCAGAAATTGTGGTATTTTGCTTTCTCCATAATTGCCAAACTGGACTAGTGTTTGTTTATTTATTTATATATATATTTATTTGGGTTGGGGGTTGGTTGTTTTTTCATTCTACAAATGTTGGTTATATGGTCTCAAAATTAATGGGCATTTTTATCTTCTTTTCATTTCGGTACATTCACTTATGATGTTGATATAAAATTTGATTTATTTTTCAATTCAGCTCCTTAACCATGTGATGCCCTATACTGATCTCTCACGTGATCTTGATGTGTAATACGGTGGTACTAATTCCTTTTCTTTTTTTCAGTCCTTAAAATCAGTGATGCGGTGGCCATTCCACTGTCAAAAAGAGCAAGGAACGAGAAGCAGCTCAAGTTAGATGAACGCAGTTCGTCAAGCGCCGAAACTGCACCCAGCACCGAGACTGCACATAGCTCGGAAACTGCAGAGGACTCTGAGGAATCCGAGGACTCTGAAAGCCGTTAAAGAAATATGGAGCAACACACATGTATCAGCATCTTTCTTTTGTCGAGTCGACCAAGTGCTCCCATCCGCAAGGCAACTTTTTATCTTTGTTATCATAGTATGTTCTTCATGGCTGAAGACTCTACATGAGATTTATAGTTAAACTTGAATTCTACAGCCATTGCTGCAGTCGAGAGAGGGGTTGTCTCCCAAAGAATTAGAAATATTTTCTGGAACTTAATTAAGTGTACGCCTTTTCCTTCACTGCATCACATTTCACAAGATTGTTAGTTTTGCTTGAGCTACCGTCTAGATCGGCATCACAGGCGACACAAATTACTGGATTCCAACGTTTGCAATGGGAGTGACTGAAAGTAAAATACGTGATCTTGATTATGTTTTAGCAAACAATCGGGAACTATTTTTTTTATTTTTCTTTAATTTCAAACTATATCTAATGTGAGTTGTCCTATAGTATGATTTTGTTTCAATAATCGCTTCGCTTATTCCTTGAATAAAATGAAAGCTATTAAGACAATATGTGTTTCTGTTCTATGAAATAAGAAACGAAAACAACTTACACTAGTACTTTTAATGAATAAAATAGAATAAATATATAGAAAATAATAAAAAAATCTTCAGTGAATTAGACCACAAATAAAACAGGTTGTACTCCGTTTGGTAAAAGCACAATTCTATAAGAAGACATGAATATAATATAATATAATATAATTATAATACAAGGAGAAAAGCACATTGGAAAATCAGTTTATGTCAATATGGGTTTATACTGTTTATTCATCTATGAATTAATAAAAGAATATTACGTATAACAGCCCTCAAAAATAACATGCCGTTTAACAAGAGACTACAAAACTACATATATCCGCGTTTTGCATCAACTACGTTTTTCTTTCGTGTTATATGCAGAACAAGTGCTTTATTTCTTTTAACAAAGGAACATTTGATAAATGATTCAATGACACAATACTTTGTTATTTCTTAACTAACCCTGGTGCGGGAAGTAATATTTAAACATAATATACCTGTAAAGTAAGCATGATTACAGAAAATAATGCAATAGGTTGAAGTACGGTACATAATTGAGTAAATGTAACAAGATATTTGAAATCACATAAAAAAAAAAACCAAAAGCAATTCCATCCCTGGAGCAAATGGTACAAAGGTGTTGTGGAGGGCAGTGGCAGATTAAGTGGGGCCAGGGGGGTCCTAAACCCCCCCCCCCCCCCCTTCGATTTCTGAAAATAAAACACCAATGGTCCCCTTTTGAAAGTAGAATTTTGACTAGCTGAATTATAGTTCCAAACCGAACCAAATGGCACCGTTCGCCCTCTATAATACCAAAATGTTTCGAAACCCCATGCCAACTGGAGGGGGGGGGGGGGGGGGGT